GTTGGGATGTGGGATAGGAAGGGGAATAGTTGGGATGTGGGATAGGAGGGGGAATTCCCATCCTTCCCAATATCCCACCTGCCCCTCCCCTGGCCCAGCTGGAGGCCGTTCCCTCTCCTCCTGTCCCTCGTTCCCTGGGAATTGGGGACCCTCCCCCTGGCTCCCCCCTCCTGTCAGGGAATTCTGGAGCAGGAAAAGGTCCCTCCTGATCCCCCTTTTCTCCGGGATGAGCCCCCCTTCCCAGCTCCCTCAGATATTCCTGCTGCTCCAGCCCCTTCCCAGCTCCCTCGGCCATTCCCAGATTTCCAGCCCCTTCCCAGCTCCCTCAGCCATTCCCAGTTCTCCAGCCCCTTCCCAGCTCCCTCGGCCATTCCCAGATTTCCAGCCCCTTCCCAGCTCCCTCACCCATTCCCTGTTCTCCAGCCCTTTCCCACCTCCCCCAACCATTCCCACTTTTCCAGCCCTTCCCCACCTCCAGCCCCTCCCCTCTGCTCCCCCTCAACCCCCAGGAATCCGGCGATTCCCGAGAAAACACGGCAAAAAAGCGGGAAGATCCACCCCAAAACCTCTTCCCTGGGCTTGATCCACCTCCGAAATCCCCCTTTCCCGGGAATCTTTTCCCACCTTTCCGCCTCTTCCACGTGCTGGAGGTTGAAGAGGAGGGAAGGGACGATCTTATCCATGTGCTGGGGATCCCAAATATTGGCCTGGAGTTCGTCGTTCACCGTCTTCCGCACGACCCCCTGCAGGCCCTTGATCCCGGACATCCGGATCCTGAGGGGAAACACGGGATATCCCATCCCAAATCTGGGATATTCCACCCCAAATCCGGGATATCCCACCCCAAATCCGGGATATTCCACCCCAAATCCGGGATATTCCACCCCCTGGCAGCGTCCAAGGCCGGCCTGGATTCCCTGGATTTGCCCCCCACCCCGGCGTCGGGCTCGGAACGGGATGAGCTTCAAGGCCCCTTCCCGCCCAAATATCCCGGGATTCCGCGATCCAAAGAATCCCTGGGATGCTCCAGCATTCCCAGAAATCCTAGAGGGATTGGGTTTGGCTCTGGGAAGTCTCCATTGTCCAGCTCTTGGGAATGTTTTTCCCCCTTTCCCTCGTTCCCGGGGGCTCCGGAGCCACGTTTCACCCACGGAAAACTTGGATGTGAGGGAAAACTTGGATATGAGGGAAAACTTGGACATGAGGGAAAACTAAAGTGCTTTTCCAACCCTCTGTTGGGAGAAGATCCCTCCAGATCCCTCTTTTTTTCCAGGATGAGCCCCCCCAGCTCCCTCAGCCATTCCTGCTGCTCCAGCCCCTTCCCAGCTCCCTCAGCCATTCC